TCGTGGTTGCCAGTTGCCATTCCCTTGCCATTCAAGTTCGCCATTCAGCGAACTTGATTTTGACTTCAAATTAGTTTTCGGCTTTCACTTCTGCTGTAGAAAGGCTTGTAAATTTTAGACCGGTAATCGACTGGAATATGGCCATTACATTCTGATGCTTATTCAGATTGTCAGTCTAAATTTTCAAAAGCATACTAAACTCTATACTGTAGAATTTGTTTAACATAACATTTTATAAGCTATTAAAGACTTTTGTATATCGTGGTCATGCTCGCGTTGGAGTGGGTAGTGCGCTGGGGCAGTGAGCGTTGGAGTTGATACCGAGGCTCGGGTTCAATTCCGATCACTAACTTTTCTAATTTTTAAAATTCTAACTTTCTTGTCTTGTGATTAATGTAATTGTAGGCATTGTAATAATCATTGTAATGTCATTTAAACATCATTAATCATCATTTATTAATCATTAATCATCATTTATTGATCATTAATATCATTTATTAATCATTAATATCGGGGGTGGGACAAATGCGACCTTTTTTTGCGCACCTGGATATTTGCGCACCTTTTTTTTGCTGGAAAAGGCCCTAGGCAAGGCCGTAGAGCTTCGAAAAGGGAATCGTATGCGTAGATTCCGAATTTCGACAAATCAGACCTCGCTGACACGTCAAATTTGGGCTTAAAGGGCAAAAACTGCGGAAAAGCGTTAAGTTGCGTAGTTTTTGCCTTTTAGCCCAAGTTTGACGTGTCAGCGAGGTCTGATTTGTCGAAATTCGAAATCTACGCATACGATTCCCTTCTATGAAAACGTTTTTGAAGCTCTACGACCTTTCCTAAGGCCTTTTCCAGCAAAAAAAGGTGCGCAAATGTCCAGGTGCGCAAAAAAAAGGTCGCATTTGTCCCACCCCCTTAAAAATCACAAAAATCAACGGTTTTTTATCATTAACTTATCTACGATCATTTTTATCATTAACTTAGCTACGATAGATTTTTTTATCCAAGCTTTATCCAATAGTTTTACAATTTATTGAATATTGAAAAAATATATTTATTGAATACGCTCCAATACGGTTCCAATACGGTTCTAATACGGTTCCAATATGGTTCCAATACGGTTCCAATACGGTTCTAATACGGCTCCAAGCTCCAATACCGTTCTAATACGGTTCCAATACGGTTCCAATACGGTTCCAATACGATTCTAATACGGTTCCAATACGCTTCTAATACGGTTCCAATACGGCTCCAAGCTCCAATACCGTTCTAATACGGTTCCAATACGGTTCTAATACGGCTCCAATACGGTTCCAATATGGTTCTAATACGCTTCTAATACGGTTCCAATACGGCTCCAAGCTCCAATACCGTTCTAATACGGTTCCAATACGGTTCTAATACGGCTCCAATACGGTTCCAATATGGTTCTAATACGCTTCTAATACGGTTCCAATACGGCTCCAAGCTCCAATACCGTTCTAATACGGTTCCAATACGGTTCTAATACGGTTCTAATACGGCTCCAAGCTCCAATACCGTTCTAATACGGTTCCAATACGGTTCTAATACGGTTCTAATACGGCTCCAAGCTCCAATACCGTTCTAATACGGTTCCAATACGGTTCTAATACGGTTCCAATACGATTCTAATACGGTTCCAATACGCTTCTAATACGGTTCCAATACGGCTCCAAGCTCCAATACCGTTCTAATACGGTTCCAATACGGTTCTAATACGGTTCCAATACGATTCTAATACGGTTCCAATACGCTTCTAATACGGTTCCAATACGGCTCCAAGCTCCAATACCGTTCTAATACGGTTCCAATACGGTTCCAATATGGTTCTAATACGGTTCCTATTTTTATCTAATACGGTTCCAGTGCTGCAAACGATAAACCAATAATTCGATACAAACAAAGGATACATAATGACATAAAGGTCTAAACACACAATTTTATGGCACTTGGCTGTTACCCTTATTGTTTTATGGCTGTTACCCTCATTATAAGAGCGTTTACAGAGACTCTTGTCTCTTTTCAGCGTAAAGCTCAGCTTCTTTCCATCCAGACTTTAAAAAGTAGTCGAAGTAGAAGTTAGTACCATAGATACAGTACTTTGCAGCACTTTTGGTTAATTTATGGTGTGCTTAGACACTTTTTTTTGAAAAGAACATCCCAAAACATTCCCAAAGCGCATCTCTTGATCAAAAAAGTGTCAAAACACACACAAAAAAGCCAGCAAAAATCGATCGATCCTCTCATTTTTGGATTGGAAAAAAAGGGGAATTCCCTTTTTTCTTTAAAACTGAAACTTTAAAAAGCATTTTTTTTATCTAAAAATTTTCTAAAACACACCTAATTTTTATAGGCTAGCAAGTTTCAAATTTCTGCTCATTTTTTTCTGTTTTTCTTTTGAATTTCAAAGAGCTCTCTTCCCTGCTTTTTGCATAAAAAAAACTGCAATATTTTTACGTAAAAAATCTTTTATTTTTGAGATTTCATCATTCTTTTTCGATACTTAAATGGAAAATCAAAAATTTTGAATTCGAGCTGGGATTTTAGGCTGCGAGCTGGGATTTTTTTAACCGTATCCTCAGGTCTATTAGCATACCTAACATCAAAACTTATCGGATGTGTTTTGTTGCTTATGTCCGCCCAATTCTTGAATACGCTTCTTTGGTTTGGTCTCCTTCCCCTATCTCCGAGCTGGGATTTTAGGCTGCGAACTAGGATTTTAGGCTGCGAGCTGGGGTTTTAGGCTGCGAGCTGGGATTTTAGGCTGCGAGCTGGGATTTTAGGCTGCGAACTAGGATTTTAGGCTGCGAACTAGGATTTTAGGCTGCGAACTAGGATTTTAGGCTGCTAGCTGGGATTTTAGGCTGCGAGCTGGGGTTTTAGGCTGCGAGCTGGGGTTTTAGGCTGCGAGCTGGGATTTTAGGCTGCGAGCTGGGATTTTAGGCTGCAAGCTGTGATTCTACGATTTTAAACAAGGAAAATCTGAATCTCATCATACAATTATTGGATTGGTGAATTGAAAACTGCCGGACTTTGAACTAAAATTTATTCAACATAAAACCATCAATTCATTCCAAATAATTTCCATTATTATTGACGACTTCTGCCCATTTTATAGGCCTAAGCCTAAGCCCATTTTATATTTGCGGATTCCTCTTTCTTCGTAGGATCTTGGTTTGTGTGTGAGACAAGTGTGAGACTCAAATGGACTCAACAATGGAGGACTGGATGTCAGCTTCAGACTCAGTTTGACTCATGACTCAGTTTGAGCACTTTCTTCAAAAGAAACCCATTTTGGTGTCAATAGAAAAGTTGTAGAGAATCAAAAATTAGGCATATAGCCAAATTTCCAAAAAGATACACTTAGTAGTTTCGCTTAAAATGCAACTTTTATCCGGATTATCCGGATCTAACATAATCAGAAGGGAGAAAAGTTTGATGATCATGCTCAGATCATAAAAACACTTAACATATAAACAACAACAATATAAAAGCACCTCTAATATTTCTCAGTTTTTCGAGAATGGAACCTAGGACTTGCGCCAAGATGGAAAGAAGTTATCGATAAAAATTGAATACTTTTTGGATTAAAGTTTTCTGTTTTGTGTAATAAAAAAGTTGTTACTTAAAAGGAAAGTTGAAAGCTTTAATCTGATTTAATTGTTTAAACTTCTCAGCAAAATCCGAAAGCGCTATCGTGATCACTTCGACTTAGGCTTAGGTATTTCTTGGTGCTGATCCTCATTTTGATGCTGACATGTCATCGTCACTTCTAACCATTCCGTTGTTAGAAAAAGCCTTAGATTTAAAACCCCTTAGATCCTTAGATCCTTAGATCCTTAGATCCTTAGATCCTTAGATCCTTAGATCCTTAGATCCTTAGGTCCTTAGATCCTTAGGTCCTTAGATCCTTAGGTCCTTAGATCCTTAGGTCCTTAGATCCTTAGATCCTTAGGTCCTTAGATCCTTAGATCCTTAGGTCCTTAGATCCTTAGGTCCTTAGATCTTTCTAAACCTTTCTAAGCCTTACGCGTAACACTATATATGCCATATTGCGGGGGTAAAACCCATAAGTTTCCCATTTTTTTGTATCGAAGAAATGACCTAGATGATTTTATCGTTCTCTTCTTTCCCCTTTCCTTTTGACCGATCCATTCTCGTTTTTCGTGGTTTGACCTTGCCAACTTGGAAGGAAATCTTTTTTAATGTTTTTGATTTTTAAATCTAAAGCTTTTCTTATAATATCTTATTTTTTCGCCTACTTGCGCTTGTTTAAACGAAACTTTCCTGGTTCTAAACTGAGTGGTTTAGCTTAGGTTTAATTTTTGGCTTGGTTTTTTGGCTTTAGCTTGGGCTTAGGCTTGGCTTAGGCTTGGCTTAGTCTTGGCTTAGGCTTAGGCTTAGGCTTAGGCTTGGGTTAGGCTTGGGTTAGGCTTGGGTTAGGCTTGGGTTTGGCTTAGGCTTGGCTCAGGCTCAGGCTTAGGCTTAGGCTTCGGCTTAGGCTTGGCTTAGGCTTAGGCTTAGGCTTAGGCTTGGCTTAGGCTTAGGCTTAGGCTTGGCTTAGGCTTAGGCTTGGCTTAGGCTCAGGCTCAGGCTTAGGCTTAGGCTTAGGCTTAGGCTTAGGCTTGGCTTAGGCTTAGGCTTGGCTTAGGCTCAGGCTCAGGCTTAGGCTTAGGCTTAGGCTTGGCTTAGGCTTAGGCTTAGGCTCAGGCTCAGGCTTAGGCTTAGGCTTAGGCTTGGCTTAGGCTTAGGCTTGGCTCAGGCTTAGGCTTGGCTTAGGCTTGGGTTTGGCCTGGGTTAGGCTTGGCTTTGGCCTGGGTTAGGCTTGGCTTTGGCTTTCTTTCTTCCTTCTTTCTCTTGGCAGGCTAAGGTACCGAATAGCTCATTGCTTAGAGTAATTGATTGGAAAGCGGGCTTAGGCTTAGACAATCCCTTGCTTGAGTACATTATGTTTTTGAAGATTTCAAAATCAAATTTTTCTTTAGAAAATGTCCTATCAATCCTTTTTGATCGTCGGCGGTTTTGGGCGAATCGGCGCCACGATTGTAGAGAAGATTCTAGAGAGAGCGAATACTAAAGTAAGCAAATATTTAGATTATTTAGATATCTAAATATCTAAATATCTATTAGATTGGAAACTTGAAAGTTGGTACATTTATTCATTGTACTTTTTAGAAATAACTAGTGCACGAATTAATCTACAGTTTTCACCAAATAACAAGCCGATTTATTCTCTAAAAAAAGCTTTTGACAGATTTAGAAAAGCTTTAGTTTTATAGGTTTCTAGGGGGAAAGAAGTTAATAAACCAAAAATGATGAACACGAAGCTATTTGAGCACTTTCTTCCACATAAACCTATTTTGATGTGAATAGAAAAAAGATAGAGCGTGAAAAGTTAGGCATAAAGCCGAATTCTGAGCTCGAATTCCTTTAGTTTGTATGTCTGTTTGAAGAGTTTTCAGTAAAAGTTGATTTTTTGTTGATTCTGCTCAAATTCTTTTCAAAAGTTGCCCAAATTTGCTTGAATGGGTGGGAAATTAGATAAGAATTAGATAAATTAGATAAAATATATCATTTGATTTCGAGAAATCTGATTCAATTGGCGTATTGAATATATTTTCAGGGAAATACGAAAAATTGTACCAATTTTCAGAGTTGCCAATCTAAGAAATAGCAATATTCTTATGTAATTCTTAATCTAGGTACTGATTTTGGACGCATTTCACTCAACGGACACCAATTTAGACCTAGAAGTGGCGAAAAATGAGAGGTTTGGGATCTTGTTTCGAAAAGCTTATGTTTAGCTTAAGTCTAGAATCGCTAGATTACGGTATTTAGTCTAGATTAGAGGATTCAGTCTAGATTGGCTGGATTACGGTATTCAGTCTAGATTAAGTTATTTGGTCTTGAATAAGGTATTCAGTCTACATGGCTGGATTACGGTATTGAGTCTAGATTGGGAATTCAGTCTAGATTGGCTGGATTACGGTATTGAGCCTAGAATCCGTATTCAGTCTAGATTAGCTGGACTACAGTATTGAGTCTAGATTGGGCATTCAGTCTAGATTGGCTGGATTACAGTATTGAGTCTAGATTAAGTCATTAGCTTGATTACGGTATTTAGTGTAGATTGGGTATTCAGCCTAGAATAAGGTATTCAGTCTACGTTAGCTTGATTACGGTATTTAGTCTAGATTAGAGTATTCAGTCTAGATTAGAGTATTCAGTCTAGATTAGAGTATTCAGTCTAGATTAGAGTATTCAGTCTAGATTAAAGTATTCAGTCTAGATTAGAGTATTCAGTCTAAATCAGAGTATTCAGTCTAAATCAGAGTATTCAGTCTAGACTGTCTGGATTACGATTAAGTTTAGCTTAAATTTGAATATATTTTATGCAAAATTTTCTTTAAATTAAGCTAATTTTCAGACTGACAACTGTTTTTGGAGCCCGACACAACGAGGCGCTCGTCGAGAGGATTCTAAAGGAGCATCGGGTAGATTTTTCAAATCATTTTCATTTGTCGTGCTACCGTAATCCTCAGGGTTACTGTAGCTCACAATTATCCAGGTTATAGAGCCTTCTTATAGAGCCTTGCAGTTAAATAACGTAGTGCTCGCGGATTACGGTAACTGGGCTACTGTAGCGTTATTGTGGTGTAGCTGGGTTGCTATAGCTGGGTTATTGTAGCTGGGTTGCTATAGCTGGGCTATTGTAGCTGGTTATTACAGCTTATTGTAGATTATTGCAGACTTTTGGGTGATTGTAGCTGTGTTATTTCAGTTCTAATGTCCAGGATCACCAGGAAAAGTGAATACCGTGATCCTCTTATTGTTTAGGCTGATTTTGTCACCTAAAAAGTGCACAATCTCTGGGATACTGTAGCTGGCCTATTGCATGAATTGTAGCTTTTGAAAAGATGAAAAAAGGCTACCGTATCACACAAAATGGAGAACATATCCTTAAGGTTACTGTAGCTGACTTCAGACAAAAAAGCAAGTGTAAAAGTAAGGACAATAGGAAGTGTAAAAGCTACCGTAATCTTTAGGGTTACTGTAGCTGGCAATGATCTAGTTTTCTAGATTGAATTTCTAGATTGACTGATTCTAGATTGAATGCGTGATCGATTGTGTCTCGTGTTTTCCCGATATCAACAAATCTCCGATCGAACAGGCTCGAGAAGGGATTTCGGGTGAGTTTTTGAGAATCTTTTAACTTACAATACATTTAAGGAACTACAGGGTGCGCCAAAAGTAGCTACAGGGCACAGCTACAGGGCACAGCTACAGGGCACAGCTACAGGGCACAGCTACAGGGCACAGCTACAGGGCACAGCTACAGGGCACAGCACATTTTGGTCGCACATTTTTTGGGGCTTTAGGCCTGTAACTTTTATGGATCAACTATAGAACTATAGAACTTGGTTTTCCCATACAAATTTCCATTAAAGGAAATAACTGTAACTGTTCCCCGTAACTGTGCCCTGTAACTGTTCCCCGTAACTGTTCCCTGTAACTGTGCCCTGTAACTGTGCCCTGACTCTGCCCTGTAACTGTTCCCCGTAACTGTGCCCTGTAACTGTTCCCCGTAACTGTGCCCTGTAACTGTTCCCTGTAACTGTTCCCTGTAACTGTTCCCCGTAACTGTTCCCTGTAACTGTTCCCCGTAACTGTGCCCTGTAACTGTTCCCCGTAACTGTTCCCTGTAACTGTTCCCCGTAACTGTGCCCTGTAACTGTTCCCTGTAGCTGTTCCCTGTAACTGTGCCCTGTAACTGTGCCCTGACTCTGCCCTGTAACTGTTCCCCGTAACTGTGCCCTGTAACTGTTCCCCGTAACTGTTCCCTGTAACTGTTCCCCGTAACTGCCCTGTAACTGTTCCCTGTAGCTGTTCCCTGTAACTGTGCGGCCAAAGCGCCCCTGAGCGGACCTTCTCAATCAATTGTCTTAAATAGCGTTGCACTTATAAATTAACCAGAAACGTTTTCTAAATCAGTTTTTCGCGAGGAATTCGAATTTCTTACTTTTAAAATCGTATCTTTTATCTAAAATTACCAAAAATGCAGAAAATACAAGTACGGGAACTTTTGGCGCAACCTGTATCTTTATCTAAATCTCTCTATCTATCTAATCTAATTAGACATTTATCTAAGAGTTAAATAGCTTTTTGATAGCTTTTTGATAGAAGATTTTCTCCAGGCCTCACCCATCTGATGGACGCGATTCGACATTTTGGAGAGCTGAAATCGTTTGTCCTTGTCAGCACTCAAAAGGTACCGATGATACCGTAGTCTTTCTTTTATCTTTTCTTTATCTTTTCTTTATCTTTTTTTTATTATGATAATCTAGCTTACATTAGGTTTATGGAAATTCAAGGATTCAAAACGAAGACCAATCCTTGAGTCCAACAGATTTCGCTGGAGCCACTGCAATGTCTACTGAAGCGATGCTGCACTCGTTTGTTTTTTTGACAAATTTATTATTTTTGCCTAGTCTAGCTTCTGGAAAAGGTTAAAACTGGCTTTTAGTCGAATTCTTGTTGAAAAATATTCTTTTGAATCTATTCTTTGAATCTATTCTCTAAATTCGGTTCCTATTCCTCTAAATTCGGCTCCTATCTCTCTAAATTCCGTTCATATGTTCCAGAAATGGAAAAAGCAGAGTACAGGCTATTCTATAATCATCTTAATCATTCAAGAGACTATAAAGATATTCAGCTATCTAAGAACTAGCTTTTATTTTAAAGAATTATATAGCTTATTAGGCTATCCAGAAAGTGGAAAAGACTTTCTGGACAGCCTAAACTCTAAAGACATCTAACTTTGCCACCGTACTCGAGGATTCTATAAAGTTTATGGCATTGGGATTACTGTATTATTGAATTATTAGATAGCTGAGCCTGGCTACAGTACACTTATCTGCTTGATGAGATTTAAAATCTATTCTATTAGGTACATGCATAAGAAATACGGATTTCAACATTTTCATAAATTTTCAACGATAGAAAACTGAAATCGATGAACTATTTGAATGTACTATTTGAATGTACTATTTGAAATATACTATTTGAAAGTTCTAAATCTCCTCTACAAAATAGGCTAATTGATCAATCAATTGATCGAACGATTGAAGAAATTTCGAGGCCGAAATACGAGTGACCAAAAAAAGGAATCGAGGCACTTTAGGGCCAAGTTTAGTGTGGTCAAAGTTAGGGGCAAGTTTAGTGTGGTCAAACTTAGGGACAAGTTTAGTGTGGTCAAACTTAGGGACAAGTTTAGTGTGGTCAAACTTAGGGACAAGTTTAGTGTGGTCAATGTTAGGGGCAAGTTTAGTGTGGTCAATGTTAGGGGCAAGTTTAGTGTGGTCAATGTTAGGGGCAAGTTTAGTGTGGTCAATGTTAGGGACAAGTTTAGTGTGGTCAAACTTAGGGCCAAGTTTAGTGTGGTCAAACTTAGGGACAAGTTTAGTGTGGTCAATGTTAGGGGCAAGTTTAGTGTGGTCAATGTTAGGGACAAGTTTAGTGTGGTCAAGGTTAGGGGCAAGTTTAGTGTGGTCAATGTTAGGGACAAGTTTAGTGTGGTCAATGTTAGGGGCAAGTTTAGTGTGGTCAATGTTAGGGGCAAGTTTAGTGTGGTCAATGTTAGGGGCAAGTTTAGTGTGGTCAATGTTGGGCATTTAGTGTGGTCAAACTTAGGGCCAAGTTTAGTGTGGTCAAAGTTAGGGGCAAGTTTATTATGGTCAAACTTAGGGACAAGTTTAGTGTGGTCAAAGTTAGGGATAAGTTTAGTGTGGTCAAACCCCACCTTCACAAAAGTTACAGACGCGCGAAAGTGACGATCTTTTTTCAAATATGATATTTCATTGTCCAGTAGTGTAGCTTTCTTGATTGTTCTGGTGAGCCTAGTTATCTAGCTTAGCCAGCCTAGTTCTCTAGCTTCGTCAGCCTAGTTCTCTAGCTTCGTCAGCCTAGTTATCTAGCCTAGCCAGCCTAGTTATCTAGCTTAGTCAGCCTAGTTATCTAGCTTAGCCAGCCTAGTTCTCTAGCTTCGTCAGCCTAGTTATCTAGCTTAGTCACTAATATATTGTAATATAATATAATCTTGTAATCAGTTATGTATAATACTACAGTTTTCTAAAGTTCTTTCCAGCTACGTGGTCTCTTATCGTTTGCCGATGTCGATTGTTCGCCTTTCCAATGGGATTTTCTCGACAAAAATCGAGCTCGATGCGTTCGTTCACAGCTACAGTAAGCTCTACTTTCTATATCAACCTTCTATATCTGCTGACTTACACTCTGGTAGCTCCAGAAAACCAAAACCTTTTTAGAAAATCCGATCAATCTCCTTCCCATCGCCTCAGCAGCTTCGGCAGTGCTCAAAGTGGCTGAGAAAGCCGGTGGAGCTGAAGTGTACAATGTCGGAGGATTGACAGACTTCAGTCAACAAGAGATTTTAAAGGTGAGTTTAAAAGTTTCTCAGTGTTTCTCACCTCTAAATTGTTTTAGTTTGTAAATGGTGGCCAACCAAATGGAATCCCATCAAATTTCGACATCACAAAGGTGCGACGACTCGGCTGGGAACCGGAAATGGGTGAGCTAAGCCCTAGAAGTCCTAGAAGCCCTAGAGCTAAGCCCTAGAGGCCCTAGAAGCCTTAGAGCTAAGCTCTAGAGGCCCTAGAAGCCCTAGAGCTAAGCCCTAGAAGCCCTAGAAGCCCTAGAGCTAAGCGCTAGAGGCCCTAGAAGCCCTAGAGCTAACCCTAGAGGCCCTAGAAGCCAGTTCAGAAGCCAGGGTTGGGTTTCTTGGGTTACTGTAGTTGGTTTACTGTAGTTGATTTGCTGTAGTTGGTTTACTGTAGAAGTCAGCACTGAATTGAGCTCTAGCCTGACCTTTACAAGCTGACAAGCATGGTTTACAAGCTTTAAATAGTTCTGTATATGAAAATCTGTTCTTTAGCATCCTTTTTAGATCTAAGATTTACTGACTCAAAGCCCAGCGTCTCTCTTTCACCGAAAATCCTCATTTACGGGGCAACTGGGTGGATTGGAGAGCAATTTTGCGAGCTTTTGAAGAAAAATGGCATTGCTTTTGAGGTAAAGTTTACTGTAATCATTGTAAAATTCTTTAGATCTAAGAAATTTTAGATTTAGATCAAGAACTTTTAACCACTTTATATAGCCACTTTTAGAAAGGTGAAACCCGACCGGGCGATGACGTCGACGAAAAAGTTGAAGCGGAGATTGGACGCGTCGCGCCGACACACATCATTTCAATGCTGGGACGAACGGTTGGACCGGGTTAGTGAAGAAAAAGAGCACCGCGCCGAGCCGAGTTGATGACGATTTTACAGTTCCCAAGCTTTCCCAGAAGCTCAGCACTCTAATCATCGTCAAGATCTCATTGTCAGCTACATATGTTACAGTAATCTTTACTTTTCCGCCCTCACATCGATAGGTTCTGATAAGCGGCTCTCGAGATTTCGAGGAATTTAGGCAAGCTTAGAGCGCACTACTATTAGAGAGAATATGGTATTTTAGTCGGAAATGAGAAAGAAAGGCTTAGGAAAAGGCTTGGGCCAAGATTTCTCCTTCTGCATGACTCTAGAATTCATTCGGTGCGCCTGGAGAATTCGGTGCGCCATTTAAAAGTGTTTTTCATGTACCGGCTTTTCCCTAATGCACCCCGTCGAGTTGATGCCTATTTTCTCGTTCCCAATTTTTCCCAGAAGCTCAACACTCTAATCATCGTCAAGATCTCATCGTCAGCTACATTTTCCGACCCCACATCGATAGGTTCTGATAAGCGGTTCTCGAGATTTCGAGGAATTTAGGCAAGCTTAGAGCGCATTACTATTAGAGAGAATACAGTATACAGGGAAAATACAGTACCATTTATTGTACATTAACAATTATGAATCAACTATCAAATTCGAATCGACCACCATTAGCATTTGAGCAGGCTCGCAGGCGTTTCGGGCTGAGGCTCAGGCTCAGGCTTAGCCTCTTGGCTGTCGACAACGGTGGTGACAAAATAGGCTGGATCGAGCTCTTCCCACGCTTTTAACAGTGATTTCTTCAAGCTTTGGATGTTTTTGTCGGGCTTTGAATAAGTCTCTTGACTTCTAGAATCGATCACACTGAAAAATCCATTGGGTTGAGGTCTGGAGAGTTAGGTGGCCACCGTATGGTGGCTCAGAGAAAGAAATGAAGTCCGGGAAGTGAGTTTTTGGCAGAACTCTTGAACTTTCTTGGATTTGTAGGCCGCTTATCTTGCTGATAAGTCCAAATGCGATTTCTAAAATGTTTACGAAGCCAGGACAAGTGTTATCCTTGAGAAGAGCCAGTTGGTTATCGAAATTGACGCCTTGGGAAACAAAAATGAAAGGAGTCTTTCCTCTTCCTCTTGCAGCGATGCGATAGGAAGAAAAACATTACAGAAGCTGAATGTGTACTTCGAGAAACCGTAGTATTCGTTTGAGATACTCGATCTCGATCGATCATTTTGCTGGTGAGGTGTTCTCTGTGCTGCCGCATCATCGCTCGCCTTCTGGCAAACCCGTCTGGCATAAGGGGCTTCCCTTTTCGCAATTGGTACACAGCGTCAATTTGTCAGTTGTCAACGTCAGCCCGTCTACGTCAGCCCGTCTACGTCAGCTCGTCTACGTCAGCTCGTCTACGTCAGCTCATCAACATCAGCTCATCAACGTCAGCCCGTCTACGTCAGCCCGTCTACGTCAGCTCGTCTACATCAGCTCATCAACGCCAGCTCGTCAACGTCAGCGTCAACGTCACCCATACTCGATCATTTCGCTTGTTTAGAAAGCCTTCGACGCTAAATATCTTTTTCATCTGTGAACAAGATATTGTGATGATTGATTCCATTGAAACAATAACTGATCTACTCTCAATTTTTCCTTGTTTTTAGCGACATTCGAAAGAAGTTAAGCCTTGTTTTTCTTGTAAGCAGTTCAAGTTTGAGCTTATTTTTGAGGATCCGACTCAATGAAATGCTTGAAATCGCCATCTTCTTTGCCATTTACTTTGCCGACTGGTTTGCCGACTCATCAACGCCAGCTCATCAACGCCAGCTCATCAACGCCAGCTCGTCAACGTCAGCTCGTCTACGTCAGCTCGTCTACGTCAACTCGTCTACGTCAGCTCGTCTACGTCAGCTCATCAAAGCCAGCTCGTCTACGTCAGCGTCAACGTCACCCATACTCGATCATTTCTTCTTTCCCTCACTAATTCGCAATCTTGCTGATAAGTCCAAATGCGATTTCTAAAATGTTTACGAAGCCAGGGCAAGCATTCTTGGCCTGGACCTGGTTAGTGAAGAAAAAGACAGAACATAGATCCAACTTTAGGTGTTAACAGCATCGCTTATCTGGAGGGAGGACCAGATCGACTGAAATTGAACGTTCGCGACAATCTTTTCGCTCCGTGGCTCTTGGCGTCACTTTCGGAGAAATTGAGGGTAAGTCTTGCGATTGCGATTGCGATTGCGGTTGCGAGAATTGCGAAGAGTTTAATTTCAAGATCCATTTCACGTACCTCGGCACAGGATGCCTTTTTCAATACAATGACGAGCATCCGATTGATGGGAAAGGGTATTCGGTAAGTGATTGGAAAGGATTGCGTTTAAATTGATCGGCTTTTAGGAAGAAGATATCGGCAACTATGACGGCACCTCGTATTCAGCAGTCAAGGTTGGTATTAGACTTCGGAAAACAAAACTTAACCAAAACCAAAACCACCAAAACCAAAACCATAACAAAACCATAACAAAACCAAAACCAAAACCAAGCCAAAACCAAAACAAAACTGGCCAATATCTCGCGACTGGGAGGAGCTAGCGAAAATCTGTTTGCAGATTTGAAATCAGCGTCCAAAAATCTATCCCATAGGGCTATTTTTTGTTTCGAAATTTCGAGGTCGTGTTTTGGTCCTTTTTTCGGCCCCGAAATTTTGTGGAGTGAGAAAAAGTGAAAGGGAAATTTGCATTTTACAATTTTAAATTTACATGTTAATTTATATGCAAATTGAGTTTTGGTTTTGGTCTGTTCTGGTCTGTTTTGGTCTGTTTTGGTCTGTTTTGGTCTGTTTTGGTCTGTTTTGGTTTTGGTTTTGTTTGCCGAACTCTAGTTCGTATCGTTTGAAAGATCAAACATTTACAGATTTTGCAGATGATAGCTTTCAATTTATAAAGCTATCTAAAGAAAATCTTTTCGTTCTTTTTCGTACTTTCGCTTAAAACTAACACAAATCGAACTTTTCAATTGAACTTTTTTCAATTGAACTAATACAATTCACAAATTGAACTAGTTTTTTCATTAGAAAGCCCAAAAAAGACCAATTCATTCGAAAAAGTCAATTATTTTTCTGCAAAATAACATTAAAACGGGTTTAAAATTTTGTTATTCTTATTCTTATTGTTATTTTGCAGAAAAATAATTGACTTTTCGCATGAATTGGTCTTTCTTGGGCTTTCTAATGAAAAAAGCTAGTTTAATTGATGAATTTGTTGGTTTTAAACGGAAGTACGAAAAGGAAAAGACTTGGACAGTATAATAAATAAAATAATCTAATAAAAGAAATATCAACTATCAATAAATATCAACTATCAGTAACGTTTTCTCCATTTTTATCGATTTTTCCCATCTTTAACGCAAGTCCTTGATTTCATTTGTGAAAAATTAGAGATTTTAGAAGCCAAAATAGTTGTCGATCATAGTTGTCAACCACTTTTTTGACTTGAACATGATTTCTTTCGATGAATATCAAGTTTCGGAGTGGTTTGCGCGGTAGATAGCCATTGGTTCTTCCTTTTGATCTTCTCGTAATTCTCGTAGTTTCATCAGATGTCAAAATCGAATCCCAAAAAGCCAACAGCATTGCATTCATGGAGAAGAAAAGGAGTGACGTTGAGAAGCTGACGTAGACGAGCTGACGTTAAGAAGCTGACGTTGACAAGCTGACGTTGAGAAGCTGACGTTGACAAGCTGACGTAGACGAACTGACGTAGACGAGCTGACGTTGAGAAGCTGACGTAGACGAGCTGACGTTGAGAAGCTGACGTAGACGAGCTGACGTTAACAAGCTGGCGTAGACGAGCTGACGTTGAGAAGCTGACGTTGAGAAGCTGACGTTAACAAGCTGACGTAGACGAACTGACGTTGACGAGCTGAAGCTGACGATGACAAACGGTTTAACCGAGCGAAAATGGAAGCCCCTTAAGCCAGACCGATTTGCCAGAAAGCGAGCGATTAGCCGGCCGCACAGAGAACACCTCGCCAGGGATTTCTGGGGAATTTCTCTGCTTTGTAAAAGATATTCAGCTGTAAATTTGTACCTAGGGGTTTTCGGGATCGGTGAATCGATTGACGCCATTCATTTCCTTGAATCCACCAATTGAAACACGGGTTTAATAGATTGAAAATAGACTTGAAAGACTTGAAAGTAGTTTTAATAGACTAGTCACCTTTTGCATTGCTTTTTAAAAGCCTATTCTTTCTCAAGTTCTAAATTTCCATTCAGATTTTCACCGATCGCCTCCTCCGGCAATTTTCGACGACTTTGCAGTGCCGAATTCGTTTGCCGATCAATTTCGAGAAAGACACAAGGAATTTGGTGGCAAAAGTGAGCTTTAGCTTAAAGTTTTCATTGACAGACACCATTTTTTAGCTAATGGCTTTCAAGAAAGTGCTAGATATCCCGAATTCGGTCACAATTTTGCCCGACTGTTTGCCGATTCTTTTGGATATGGCGCTGAAACGGTGATTGATGTATTTTGTGCCTTGTAAACCCTTCTGACGCACTAGATCTATCATTTTCCTACAAAGAAATCACGAAATAGCTGATTTCCGGCTAAAGCCAAGCCAAAAACTGTAAAATTTCGCCATTTTCACCATTTTTGCCTTCATTAGTGTCACCTCGGGCAAAGAAATTGATCTAATCGTGAAAGTGATTAGATAAATACCGAGATCTCACCTGTGACATCCAATATTAAAGATTAAATGCAAATTTACACGTGTTGGCTTGGCTTTTCTTTTCGATTTTGACTTGACCGTACTCTCGAGTACTCTCGAGTACTCTGTACGGAGATCGTTTAGTGAAAACTTTCATTCTTTAGTCAAACCGGTGTCATCAATTTGGTAAACCCGGGCCCAATCCGTTTTCCTGAGGTGTCCGCCCTGTACAAGAAAATGCTCGAGCCTGATTGGGAGTACGAGATTTTGGAGGCTGATGTGAGGATTTGGAAAGCTTTTTGGCTTCACGGAATCTATTTTCTCACTGTTTCAACTTACTACAAAGCTACAAAAAGCTATAAAGCTCAATAAAGCTTTATAAAGCGCTACAAAAAGCTACAAAGCGCTACAAAACGCTACAAAATGCTCCAAAACGCTAAAAAGCCCTACAAAATGTTCCAAAACGCTACAAAACGCTACAAAACACTTCAAAAAACGCTACAAAAAGCTACGAAAGCTCCAAGACGCTAAAAAGCTGTACAAAATGTTCCAAAACGCTACAAAACGCTACAAAACGCTTCAAAACGATACAAAAAGCTCCAAAGCGCTACAAAACGCCCCGTAGAATTCTAAGAAACACGTATTTTGTCCTTTTTTCCCCTCATAGGCCCTGGTTTTCGAGAAAAACGTGTCCAAAGTTTCAGCAATTTTTGACCACGACCACCTATAAGAGGGTGCTACAACGACGACCAAAAACCAGCGATGGCCTAGGGGATACGGTGCTAGACTCTAAAACCCGCGGCTGATTACCCTCGCGGGTTCGATTCCCCTTGCCACCAAATTTTTTTTTTCTTTTTGTAAAAGTATAAGAAGTGAATATTAAGATAGTATTTCAGGCGATTGTGAGTATTAAAATAGTTTAAAATAGTTTAAAACAGTTTAAAATAGTTTAAAATAGTTTAAAACAGTTTAAAATAGTTTAAAATAGTTTAAAATAGTTTAAAATAGTTTAAATTAGTATAAGATAGTGTTTTAAACTATACAAAACTTCCAAGAAATGCCTATTGTTTGAATCACAGAGCCTCAGACAGCAAGAAAGAAAATGGCAAGTATCTATGGTATTTTCTTTAGTCTACCCTAGTAAATCTATCTATAGGATCCTCTATGATCAATTTTATCATCAATTTTATCATCAATTTCATCTCTACTTCATCTCTATTTACAGCCAACTTCGGAATTGGTGCGTACAAGGTCGCATTGTACGCTGAGCACAGCAAAATTGGAAAAACTCTATCCAACGCTGAGAACATCACGCGAGGGGATTCAAGAAGCGATTAGGTGAAACAAATTTCTCACAAACAGCTAATTGAACAACTAAATCGGCTTAGGCTTAGGCTTGGGTTAGGCTTGGGTTAGGCTTGGCTTAGGCTTGGCTTAGGCTTGGGTTAGGCTTGGCTTAGGCTTGGCTTAGGCTTGGGTTAGGCTTGGCTTAGGCTTGACTTAGGCTTGGGTTAAGCTTGGGTTAGGCTTGGGTTAGGCTTGGCTTAGGCTTGGCTTAGGCTTGGCTTAGGCTTGGGTTAGGCTTAGGCTTAGGCTTGGGTTAGGCTTGGGTTAGGCTTAGGCTTAGGCTTGGGTTAGGCTTGGGTTAGGCTTGGGTTAGGCTTAGGCTTAGGCTTGGGTTAGGCTTGGGTTAGGCTTGGGTTAGGCTTAGGCTTAGGCTTGGGTTAGGCTTGGGTTAGGCTTAGGCTTAGGCTTGGGTTAGGCTTGGGTTAGGCTTGGCTTAGGCTTTGGCTTAGGCTTGGGTTAGGCTTGGGTTAGGCTTGGGTTAGGCTTGGGTTAGGCTTGGCTTAGGCTTGGGTTAGGCTTGGGTTAGGCTTGGGTTAGGCTTGGCTTAGGCTTAGGCTTAGGCTCAGGCTTAGACTCAGGCTTTGCCTAAGTCTAAGCCTCAGGCTCGGATTTAAGAAGCGATTAGGTAACAAAAATTAGACCCAAACAGCTAATTGAACAACTAAATCGGTTCTTCTTTCAAAAATTAAACAAATTTGAAAGTTTAAAAACATTTCAGAGTGATTGGAGCGAAAAATGGGCGAAATGGACACGCTTAAATGAAACAAAAAAGCTTTGTTTGTTTAAGCATTCACATTTTCGAATCTTTTTTCATTCATTTATTCAATTTAGCATTGAATTTAGCATTCAATTCATTGTTTAATGCATTTTTTTGTAATAAATAACCTTTATTATACATTACTTTTTAAGAAAATCGACAAATCAAAAAGTAAATCGACATACCAGTAAAAAATGGAATCACTTTTCGAAAAAATATATACAAATTTGGTCAAAAATTGAGTTTTTTTACGTGAAAATTTAAGAAATTAATGAAAAAATAGCTTTAAAATCGAAATTCACATTCAATTTATGTCAAAGTCAAGCGGAAAAGTTACGAAAACGAGAGATGAACGAGAGAACGAGAGATCCATTCGTTAGAGACAAATTCTTACGTCCAGTTGAAAAGGATATGTAAAAGTCGGTGATTTTTGAGATCTAGAGATAGATTAGAAACAATAACACGATATGGAAATCGTTTTGTTATCCTTTATAAGCTGGATTGTCGAATGAGTGTTGTTGAGTGAGCGATGGGGCGCCGTTTTTCTCCAACTGAAAGCCGTAGTCGATTTTGTTGACGATGAAAAGGATCACGATACGCCAAGCGGCCACCTGAAAGCAGATCGTCTAATAATTGAAGGTTCAGTGCAGTGGACAGCCAGCAATACCCAGGTAACGCCCTTGAACCTGTAGAGCCTAGTCTTGAACCTGTAGGGCCTAGGCTTGTCCTGTAGAGCCTAGTCTTGACTCTGTAGAGCCTAATCTTGTCTTGTAGAGCCTAGTCTAGTCTTGACCCTGTAGAGCCTAGTCTTGACCCTGTAGAGCCTAGTCTTGACTCTGACCCTGTAGGGCCTAGTCTTGACCCTGTATACCCTAGTCTTGTCCTGTAGAGCCTATTGACCCTCTAGAGCCTACATCTTGTCCTGTAGAGCCTACGACTTGGACCCTGAGACCCTACAGTCTTGGCCCTCTAGAGGGAGCCAATTACCCTGTAGCCATCCAACCCCATTAAGCCATTAATTTCGATAAATCAAAATCTGATTACAACAAGTTTTAGTGTGCATTCCAGACAACCTAAACGTTTTTAAACGAGGTTTAAACCCGTATGCAACTTGATTTATGACTCCAAAGCCTTATCGAGAGTCCAGCTCCTTTTTGAAGCCAACCCATTTGAAAGATATTTTATTTTAAGCTGATCTGGAATTCACACTAGACTTGTTGCAATCAGATTTTTGATTTAATGAAAAAATTTTCTTTTGGCGGATACTGTAGTTTCAGGGTAAGGATAGCTTTAAACTCTACACTGGCATACTCTAGGGTTTCCGGATGGGGTACTGTAGGGTATGCAGGGTTGTCCGGAGCTTACAAGGAAGGCTGAATCTCCAAGCCAAAAGCTAGACTGGCCAGTCCAGGCCAGTCCAGCTTTTGGCCTGGACTGGCCTTGCCTACAGATCCTAGAGACTGATTTTAACACAAAGTACGTTCCAAAGCAAATTCCACACCACTTCCCCAGCCACTTACCGTATCCCATTTGTGTGTTTTGATCGGGAACTGTCTGGCTAGTTGACACAATGCTTCCGAGACTCGTGACCAATAATTTCGATCAAAGCATTCTAAAAGTTGGAATGTTAAATGCCGAATTTTTAAATATCGTAGAGCTACAGTAGCCATAGATCTAAAAATCTCGAAATTCTTACCTTTCTCCTCAAGGACCCCATTCTGACTTGAGTAACTGACAAGCAAAGGGCCCAGAGAGTCATCTGGAAAAAAAATTTGGTTTAAGATTGAAGGGTTATCGTAGAAAAGCTTTAACTAGGGTTACACTAGTCTAGAAAAGCTTTAGCTTGCTTACAGTAGTTTACAGAAGCTTCTGCTTGCTTACAGTAGTCTACAGAAGTCCTCTACAGAGTCTACAGAAGTCTACAGAAGCTAGAGAAGCTTCTGCTTGCTTACAGTAGTCTACAGAAGCTTTAGCTTGCTTACAGTAGTCAAGAAAAGCTTTAGCTTGGGTTACGGTAGTCAAGAAAAGCCTTAGCTTGAGTTACAGTAGTCTAGAAAAGCTTCAGCTTGCTTGCAGTAGTCTAGAAAAGCTTTATCTTGGGTTTCGGTAGTCAAGAAAAGCCTTAGCTTGGGTTACGGTAGTCAAGAAAAGCTTTAGCTTGCTTACAGTAGTCTACAGAAGCTTCTGCTTGCTTGCAGTAGTCTACAAAAGCTGCTGCTTGCTTTCAGTAGTCTACAGAAGTCTTCTACAGAGTCTACAGAAGTCTACAGAAGCTAGAGAAGCTTCTGCTTGGTTACAGTAGTCTAAAAAAGCTTTAGCTTGCTTAGAGTAGACTACAGAAGCTTTATCTTGGGTTACGGTAGTGATTCTTGCCAAAAAAACTAACCCAGCGCCTCAACCGATTCGACAGCCATATCCAAAACGTCGGTAATAGCGGCAGCGTGAATTTTCGCTAACTCACGATGACGCTCAAAGTCGAGTCTACAAATAATACTTATAGATTGCTTTTTTATTGGATAATTATTGGATTGGATAGTTAAATAATGAAATCTTTATTTATGTAGTTAGTTTTGTATCGAAAAATTGAGGAAAATTGGAGAAAATTGGAGAAAATTGAAGAATTTTACAGAATTTTACAGAATTTTGAGTTTAAACAAAAGCAAAATCAACCAAAAATTGGTCATTTGAAAAAAGCTAAATTCCAATGATCATTCTTCAAATCAACTACCATATTTTTCCAATAGAATGCCATTGTTTAAGTCTTTTGCTTTGATTGATTGAATTGAGGAATTGAACACAAATTTCAGAAAATTACCATAATCTAACAGCTATTTTCCATTTATTTTCCTTTTCAAGCCCAATTTTTGTATTATTAAATGAGTTTTGGTCATTTCTCATCAAATAATACGAAAATTGGGGATAGGCTACTTTGCGCAAAATTTTTTGCTCAACTGGGTCATTTGCGCAACTGGGCCTTGGCGCAACTTGCCATAACTTTCTTCTAAGCCGGCCAATCTTTATGATTTTGGTTTCATTTTGTAGATCTCAATAAGTGCAACAAAATGACACCAACATCATAAAGATTGGTTCACTTAAAAGGAAGTTATGGCAAGTTACGCAAACGCAACGACCCAGTTGTGCAAATGACTCTGTTGCGCAAAAAAAAAAGGCGGAAATTACCCTACCCCGAAAATTGAGGTTAATTAGATGTAAACTGGTGATTTGGTTACGGTAATTTTAATGCATTTTAGAAAAAAGGACATTAGAAGAGCTTTCTAATCAAAATTTTCAAAATCACTTAAGGTTACAAAGTTTTTTGATCGGAGAGAATAATTTGGAGGAAATAAGATGAACAAGTTGGAGAAGATCAACGCTTTAACAAGCTCAAGCTTTCGATACGATTTCGATTAGATACGATAAAGTTTCCGAACTTTTCCGTATCCTAATCTCGAAATATCTCGCAAACTTTGTTTTGATTCACCTCAATTGTGAATCCCTTCTCGCCACATAATCCAGTGTCCATTCACCGGCTGTTTGCTCGCTTTCTCTTCGCCAACGCTCGTAACCGTTCTGAATTTTGGTTTAAGATTATTGGTAGCTAAAGATTGGTAGCTAAAGACTGGTAGCTAAAGATAGCCTCTAGATTTGACCTCTAGATTTGTTATAGATGCTGAGCTTAGGCTCAGGCTGATAGCTTTTAGAATTTGATCTTAATCAAATGTGCAGAAATGGCTCTTTGATCAAATGGCTCTTTTCTGTGAAATCTTATTTAATGTTTTTGATTTGAATGTCTGATTTTCTTGTCCCGCCTCTAAAAGATCGCTTTTATGATAAAGAGATGGATAAAAGGGACAAAGCGCACTTTATAGGCTCTTTCCGTATATTCCCTTTCGTATTGCTTTTCGTATTGCTTTTCGTATTGCTTTTCGTATTGCTTTTCGTATTGCTATGAAACACTGAACGAACGATTGATTCTATTCTTTTGTATTTTCTCGCTAGATTCGGAATAAATATCTAATAATCATTGCCCCCATCGGTATTCTCTTACACACTGCACATCAAATCTTAAGAGATCTTAATCAAGTCTTAATCAAGTCTTAATCAAGTCTTAATCAAGTCTTAATCAAATCTTAATCAAATCTTAATCAAAAAAAGCATTTTGCTTAAGTTTTGCTTAAGATTTGCTCAGATTTGCTTAAGATTTGCTCAGATTTGCTTAATTTTAGCTTTTAAATACTCTCATTAGCTTTTAAATACTCTCTCTTTCACTCTCAGATTTGTTTTCTTTGAAATAACGAATCGTAAACGAAGAAATAACGAATCAAGGGACTTTATGAGGCTAATTAAGGGATTTTCCGTTGTTGAGATGCGTCATGACTGAGATATTCAGCTAAAGAGGCTTTCTTTAGCTAAAGAAACTTTCTTTAGCAAAAAGAAGAAAAACAAGCATCTCCCCTCATGCATAAGTAGCTCTATATCCAGCGAAATGTGACGCACAACGAATTTCTGATGAGCAACCTTGCAAAAACAACTATTTTCCTCATTTATAGTGGGAAAAGCTTGCGCACAAGCTATTAGATAAGCTACAAGTATGCGAGTATAGGTATTGTAGGTTTCTGAGTACTGTAGACACCCCTGTAGCTACTGTAGACACCCCTGTAGCTACTGTAGACCATCTATGTACTAGTATCAGTAGCTACAAGTACTTTGTACAAAAAGATCCAAAAATAGAGCAGTTTTCTTTAAAAACCAACTACAGATTCGAATTTCTTGACCCTGAAAAACCCTGGTGCAAACTTTCAGCCCAATTCGGCCTCTAAAAAAGAACTAAATCCACGTACGGCTTACCGGAATCGTCGTGAAGGTGTTAACTAAGTTCAGATTCAGATCGGGACACCATCCTACCAGGCCTGACTTCAGTCTGGCTTCTATTCTTGAGCGTGACTTGTGTCTGGCTTCTAATCTTGAGCCTGCCTTCAGTCTGGCTTCTATTCTTGAGCCTGACTTGTCTCTGGCTTCTTTTCTTGAGCCTGACTTGAGTCTAGCTTCTATTCTTGAGTCTGACTTGTGTCTGACTTCTAATCTTGAGCCTGACTTGTCTCTGGCTTCTTTTCTTGAGCCTGACTTCAGACCGGAGCTTATTCCAAGAACAGACCGGAGCTTATTCCAAGTCTAAGACCGGAAGCTCATTCCAAACCCTACTAATACGGTTCGCAAAAGAATGATAAAGGGAAAGGTGATGGGGATGAGAACGAACGAAATTTGATAAAGATCACTACGTGTACTTCTAGAAATTTCCACAATTTTCATCTACTTTCTGCTTTCAAATTCAAATTGCTCTAAGTTAGCCTAGAGCCTAATATTTTTGAGTGAAAACCTCCATTTTTTCCTTTCCCCAAGCACATTCAAGTAAACCAGATGGGTTTTTTAAAATTTTTGTTAAAATCTTTTAAAATCCAAAAATTTCCTGTTATTTTTGACCAAAATCCGGTGAAATTTTTTTTTCAAAACAAGCCTATTCTATTTTTTTCCAGCAAAAAGATGCCCCTTTCGACCTTTAATCGAATTTCTTTCACGAAGAACATTCTTTTTTTGTTTAAAGAAAATTGAGCACAAGACTCGGAGAAAATGCGATTTTTCTCGAGAATTTGTCGGCTTGTTTTTGAAGAATCCGCTTTTTTACGCTTCTTTTCAACCCACGTTTTCCGTTTTGAGGGTTAAATTTTCGAAAAGCAGTAAATATGATAAGGGAACAGGTGAGCAGGTGTGAAAAAATTTCTGCAAAAATTGCGCTAGAAAGAATGTGTTTGCAAATGTACTTTGAGTGCATTCTGTGCTCTCGGCTAAACGCGCGCCGGCTGGCATACGAAATTTGAGCTGTCTGTACTTTGAGTGCACTCTGTGCTCTCAGCTAAACGCGCGCCGGCTGGCATACGAAATTTGACCTTTGTGTTGTGTGTTCTTTGAGTGCACTCTGTGCTCTCGGCTAAACGCGCACCGCCTGGCATGCGAGATTTGACCTCTGTGTGTACTTTGAGTGCACTTTGTTCACCACCAAAGCATCCCTTCTGGCACACCAGTTTGAGCTCAGTGTGCTAGAAGGGGGTTTATAGGAAAGCAGCAAAAAGTACAGCTTGGTTAAAAAGCCTTAAATTTACACGCTTTTCACTAAATTGCTAGTATAATCACTGTGCCAGAAAGCCCGCGTTTCACAGAGCACAAAGTACATCAGTTTGTGCCCCAGATAAAGTGCGTTTAAGCAAGAGTTGGACACAAAGTGCTCAAATTTTTCAATTTTCCAGTCATAGAGTCCTTAAAATTCAATATTCTGGCTAAAGCTTCAAGAAAAAGTCAAAGAATTCCCAATTCCCAATTCCACAAAGTCCCACGATCCGTTCAGAATCGAAAATTCATCTTAGAAACTTGCAAAGATATCCCTTTTTTTTCTGAAATCTGATACATTGTCTGCTGATTTGTTTCGTCAGCAGTTATCCAGTTTGGAATTCTATTTGTTATTCAATAGCGGATAGCCGAAAATCCCACCCACTCAGCTGAAGCTTCGAGTTTCAATTGGTAGACTCAATCGAATGAATATCTTCAATCGATTCGCAAAACACAGAACAAAAAGGGAACTAAGGGATTCGAACCCGGGAGGTCTCAATTTGTATCCCAACCCACTACCACTCGACCATCTCTTTCCCTATTAGGAAAGTCCGGTTTTAAGGTCTCGAAACAAAAAGTCAGCTGACGGATTCGAACCCGGGATGCCAGGACGAACGGACGCCTTGCATCCTAACCTACTACCACTCGGCCACCCCTGTACCTCTTGCTTTGGCTGGAAAGTCCGGTTTTAAGGTCTCGAAACAAAAAGCCAATTGAGGGATTCGAACCCGGCATGCCCGGACGAACGGACGCCTGGCATTCTAACCCACTACCACCCGGCCACCCCTGCATCCCTCCACTTGCCTGGAAAGTCCGCGTTTAAGGCCTGGAAACAAAAATTCAGCTGAAGGATTCGAACCCGGGCTGCCGGGACGAAGAGACGGCTCGTATTCTAACCTACTACCACTCGACCACCCCTACACCTCCCCTTTGTCTGGAAAGTCCCCTTTTAAGGTATATACTTGAAACTTTTTCTTTACAACAAAACTTTAATCACGTACAACTTTTGACAGAGTGCCGTTTAGCAAAAACGGAAAACAGATTCGGATTGAGCGTGAAATTCTGCGTTAAGTGGCTTTGGCTCATTCCATTTGGTCAATTCTATCCAATTGATTTTGTCTTGTAAGTACAAGATCATTACTCAACAAAAAAAAGACACATTTCTCAGCTCAAAAGCTGAAAACCAGACTCCAAAAAGTCAAACTCCTAACTTTTCCACTTGAAAACATTAAGAACATTTGGCTTTTCTCCAAAAATTTTCCCAAAATTCAAAGAAATTCATTGAAGTGTGCTATTTTCTTTGAAAATTTCTTTTAAAAATAAATTTTTCAAGAGTCTTATGTTTTTTCGAAAACAAAGTTCAGTTAAAGAAGAAAAAGAAAGAAATTTGTAGAAGATGAATATCGGCTAATGACTAAAAACCTTCAAAATTAGCTTGATTCAGAAGAAAATCTCTTGTTTTGACAATTCAAAGAGATTCAAAAACATAGAAGGGTTATTTTCTAGGCTTTCTAAGTTTCTAGGATTTCTAGGTTTCTAGGATTTCTAGGGTTTCTAGAAATCCTAGAAACCTAGAAACCTAGAAATCCTAGAAATCCTAGAAATCCTAGAAATCTTAGAAACCTTTCTATGCTTTCTAGGCTTTCAAATCCTCACTTTGATCAATTTGTGTTGTCGCGGAGTCAAAGAGATTCCGTTAAACGAAACGGTTAAATGGGCGATGTCTGAGAAGTCGGAGAGACGCCGGGAGGATCTGGAAAAGAAAATTTACAATTTTGGGAATCATTTTGTTATATAAATCGGTTAATTACCGGTTAATTACCGGTTTAATTACCCAATCTTTGACCTAATTCTTGGTTAACTTTACAGCTTAAACTATCAAAGCTCAAACTATTAAAGCAGCTTTTCTAAAAGCTAATAAATAAAACTTTTATCGAAGTTGCCTAGAAATCTTTCTAGGAATCTTTCTAGGAATCTTTCTAGGAATCTTGGCGTACCAAACTTGGTTTCTGGTATTTTTATTGGCATACCAAACTAGATTGACCAAGCTTAGCTTAAAGTCTTGACTTTAGCTTTGCTTGGCAAGAGAATCAGCCCTAGAGACAGCTCTTGACTCAGCTACTCTAGAAACAGCTCTTGACTCAGCTACTCTAGAAAAAGCTCTTGACTCAGCTACTCTAGAAACAGCTCTTGACTCAGCTACTCTAGAAAAAGCTCTTGACTCAGCTACTCTAGAAACAGCTCTTGACTCAGCTACTCTAGAAACAGCTCTTGACTCAGCTACTCTAGAAACAGCTCTTGACTCAGCTACTCTAGAAACAGCTCTTGACTCAGCTACTCAGCTATATCTTTAAAGCATTATCAGTTTCATTATCCAACAGTCAAATACATTTCAATCAAAAGAAAAACCAAATTCAAAACAATATATTTATAAAAAATATAAAGAATAAAGATTAAAATCTATTTAAAATCGTTAAAAACAAATAACCAACCTTCTCGGCACCGCGTGAATCGCTGTCGACATCGCCATCAGCATTGTGTCAGCGATCGCCGAACGGGCATCCATTTTCTGAAATCAAAAATTCTTATTAAAGACTTATATAGGATTAAAATTTCAATTTCAAGTCCAAATTTAAGAATTTAATTACAAATTTTAACAATTTCAATTCCAAATATAACAATTTCAATTCCAAATTCTAATAATTTCAATTCCAAATTTAACAATTCCAAACCTTACCAATTTAATTCAAGTTCAATCTTAACAATTACAATTCCAAATTCTAACAATTTCAAGTCCAAATTCTAACAATTTCAATTCCAAATCTTAACAATTTAATCCCAAATCCTAACAATTTAATTCCAAATCTTAACAATTCCAACTCCAAATTCTACCAAATCCAACTCCAAATCCCAATTCCAAATTCCAACTCCAAATCTCAACAATTCCAACTCCAAATTTCAATTACCAGACATTGTGGCCGTACGTTAAACATCGCTATCATTATATAGAAATCGAAAATTTCAGAAATTAGTCGATGCCTTTCAAAAGGGCTTTGAATAGCGAAAAAAATGAATATTTTGATCCTTTAAGAGATCTCTGAGATTTCGAGAGCAGAATAAAGATATTCAGCTATTCACTTGACGCGGCGAACACGTGAGGGGAAAAGGGGAGGTGAAAGGCCAAAAAGGGGAGGTGAAAGGCCAAAAAGGGGCGGACCTTTGAGCTGTGCTCAACGGAATACCTTTATCTTTATCTTTATTCTTGAATAAAGATAAAGAATTCTTGAATTCTTGAATAAACATTGAACTAAACATTCAATTATTCAGTCAAAAAGAGAAAAAAACCAAAAAACGCAGAGCCAGCAAATCTTAGCGATCATCTGTTAATTGGATGAGGTAATTGAGTTTCTCTAGAAGATTTTTGCAAGAATTTGCTCGGCTTTTTGCAAACGCACCCTTTTTGGTGCACTGGTGTACTTTAAACTTTAACCTAAACGCGTCTCTTTTGGCGCACTGGATTCTCGATTTTTCTTCTGGGACAAAGCCAAAGAAATATGCCTGAGCCTGAGCTAGAAAGGGTGAGTTTGTCAGCGAGCACAAAGTACGCCCAAACGACAAGTCAACAGGAAAGGGAAAGGACAACAGGCACAGGCTCAGGCAAAGGCTCAGGCTCAGGCAAAGGACAATAGGCTCAGGCTCAGGCAAAGGCAACAGGCTCAGGCTCAGGCACAGGCTCAGGCTCAGGCAAAGGACAACAGGCTCAGGCTCAGGCAAAGGCAACAGGCTCAGGCTCAGGCAAAGGACAATAGGCTCAGGCAAAGGCAAAGGCAACAGGCTCAGGCTCAGGCAAAGGACAATAGGCTCAGGCTCAGGCAAATGCAACAGGCTCAGGCTCAGGCAAAGGCAACAGGCTAACAAAGTCAGAAAAGGGATACAGTAGCTTGTATATAGTATAAAAACAGCTGTAAAGTCAGCCTAGATCTTTCGCAATATAAATTTATCCAAAAAACTCAAGACATCTGATATCACTTTCCAAAAATACTCAGCTATAGCCTGGGTTTTTGAAAGAAAACACGGATTTTGAAGCGATTTGGGGATGGGTTCAGGTCCAAAGGAAATCCACCCAAAAAAATGGCACTCCGTGCTCACCGAACCGACCCAAATTTGGGGTTGGACCTGGGAAAAAAAGTTCAAAAACTTCCTTTTTTCCCTTTTTTTCTTTTCCTTCAGCTCTTCAACCGGATTTCCGGCCAAAAAAAAACGAAAACAAGTCAGCATTTTGAAATAACATCAGTATTCGGGATATTTGGAGCCGGATATCCTGTAGCTATTGGAGCAAGTGCACAAATTAAGCTTGTAGAAGAGAAACTTTAGCAGAGAGTGAGATTTAGCCAACTGTTTCAGTAAAATGGTTTCAGAAATTGTTCAATACAGCAAAAGACTCCAAGACTAAGGCAAAAATTGTGACAAAATTCAAAAAATCTTAAAAATTTGGGCATAGTGAGGGAAAAAACGCTGTGGCTGGGTCGATCAAAACAACGGAAAAGCCGGCTCATTGCAAATGTGAGAAAAAAATATTTAATGCAATCGAGTGGAAAAACACGAACAAAAGGCTGTTTTGGACGACGACAAACGGTTTAAAGAAACGAAAATGGAAGCCCCTTAAGCCAAACGGGTTTGTCAGAAAGCGAGCGATTACGCGGCCGTACAGGGGACACTGCGCCAGTCATTTCTTAAGAATTTCTTTGCTTTGTAAAATTGCATAAAAAGATATTCAGCTGTAACTTTGCAAAATTAAGGTAAAAATTCTGCTAAAATGGAAAAGATCTCAAAAATTTGGGCATAGTGGAAGAAGACAGACGGTTTTGGAAGAAGATAGACGGCTTTGGAAGAGGACAGACGGCTTTGGAAGACGACAGACGGCTTTGGAAGAGGACAGACGGCTTTGGAAGACGACAGACGGCTTTGGAAGAAGATAGACGGTTTTGGAAGAAGATAGACGGTTTTGGAAGAAGACAGACGGTTTTGGAAGACGACAGACGGTTTTGGAAGAAGATAGACGGTTTTGGAAGACGACAGACGGCTTTGGAAGAGGACAGACGGCTTTGGAAGACGACAGACGGCTTTGGAAGAAGATAGACGGTTTTGGAAGAAGACAGACGGTTTTGGAAGAAGATAGACGGTTTTGGAAGAAGACAGACGGTTTTGGAAGAAGATAGACGGCTTTGGAAGAGGACAGACGGCTTTGGAAGACGACAGACGGCTTTGGAAGAAGATAGATGGCTTTGGAAGAAGATAGACGGTTTTGGAAGAGGACAGACGGCTTCGGAAGCGAAAACGGAAGCCCCTTAACACAGGCGCCTTTGCCAGAAAGCGAACGATTATGCGGCCGCACAGAGGACACCGCGCTAGTCATTTCTTAAGGATTTCTTTGCTTTGTAAATTGCATAAAAAGATATTCAGCTGATATTCAGCTCTAAATTTGTTTTTGTAAGACTTTGAAGCCAAAATACAGCTAAATTTAAGTCAGGAATCGATTGGAGATATTCATTTGATCGAGTTTACCAATACAAACTCGGTTTTAAGGCTTATAAGACTTAGCAACGGAATGAAATAAACTAAATTCTGGAATTATATTTATTTTTGAATAGTACCATTTCCCTAATAGTGTTCAAAATTGTATACAAAACGTACTAACGTACTAACGTACTAAATAAACGTACTAGCGTACTAAATAAACGTACTAACGTATTAAACGGTTTAAAGAACACTAACAGAGCTGAGCAAGTGACACATTCTTCAGTCCAAAACTCTAAACCAATCTTCTCTCTTGTGGACGTCTAATTGACAAGAAAACCCTTCTATAAATGCAAATAAATATAATTCTAGAATCTAGCTTATTTTCTTAATGCCAAAATGACGTTTGGCTTAGAAGGATTGACGTTGTTGAGAGTTGAATCGAAAAACGAGCCCCTTTTCTTTCTACTCATCTTCACCCCAAGTTTTTGGCTCAAATTTCAAATTTCTTTGACTAATTTTGCCCTTTTTCAGTCATCTTTTCTAAAAAAAAACATTTGCAAAGTGATCTTGAGAAATTGGGGTAATTTGAGAAAGAAAACAAGGAAAGGAAATGATTGCAGAAGGATTTCAAAGATTCAAGAACTCCAAGATTCAAGAAATCCAAGATTCAAGAGATCCAAGATTCAAGAAATCCAGGATTCAAGGATTCCAAGATTCAAGAAATCCAGGATTCAAGAAATCCAGGATTCAAGAAATCCAAGATTCAAGAAATCCAAGATTCAAGAAATCCAGGATTCAAGAGAACCAAGTTTCAAGAGATCCAAGATTCAAGAAATCCAGGATTCAAGGATTCCAAGATTCAAGAAATCCAAGATTCAAGAAATCCAAGATTCAAGAAATCCAGGATTCAAGAACTCCAAGATTCCAAGATTTTTCTTAACTTCTGCTTGCCCAAAGAACAATAGAAAATAGATTCTAGATCTAGATTATAGATTCTAGAATTCTAGATCTAGAACGGTCCTAGATCTAGATTCTAGCTCTAATGGACGAGAAATGAATGAATATGAAGATGAAATGAAGATAAAACTTGAGCAAAATGAATTTCGAGCAAAATGAATCTTGAGCACAATGAATCTAGACCAAAATGAGGCTTGATTTTCTTAGGATTCGTTCGAGCCAAGATCAATTCCAAATTCAGGTTTAGATTTGATTTTAATTACAAGATGAGTACTAAACAAAAAATGACATTTAATAATCTCAGAAGCTCATCCCCACTCCATAAAGCCAATTCCAGCTTGAAAAAGCTCAACGCTAACTCCATAAAGCGAACCCCAGCTTGAAAAAGCTTCATCCCTACCCCATAAAGCCAATCCCAGCTTGAAAAAGCTAAATCCTAACTCCATAAAGCCAATCCCAGCTTGAAAAAGCTCAACGCTAACTCCATAAAGCGAACCCCAGCTTGAAAAAGCTTCATCCCTACCCCATAAAGCCAATCCCAGCTTCAAAAATCTCAACGCTAACTTGATAAAGCCAATCCCAGCTTGAAAAAGCTTCATCCCTACCCCATAAAGCCAATCCCAGCTTGAAAAAGCTAAATCCTAACTCCATAAAGCCAATCCCAGCTTCAAAAAGCTTCATCCCTACCCCATAAAGCCAATCCCAGCTTGAAAAAGCTTCATCCCCACTCCATAAAGTCAATCCCAGCTTGAAAAAGCTAAATCCTAACTCCATAAAGCCAATCCCAGCTTCAAAAAGCTTCATCCCCACTCCATAAAGCCAATCCCAGCTTGAAAAAGCTTCATCCTCACTCCATAAAGCTGATCCCAGCTTCAAAAAGCTTCATCTCAACTCCATAAACCCAATCCCAGCTTCAAAAAGCTCAACGGTATATACTTGAAACTTTTTCTTTACAACAAAACTTTAATCACGTACAACTTTTGACAGAGTGCCGTTTAGCAAAAACGGAAAACAGATTCGGATTGAGCGTGAAATTCTGCGTTAAGTGGCTTTGGCTCATTCCATTTGGTCAATTCTATCCAATTGATTTTGTCTTGTAAGTACAAGATCATTACTCAACAAAAAAAGACACATTTCTCAGCTCAGAAGCTGAAAACCAGACTCCAAAAAGTCAAACTCCTAACTTTTCCACTTGAAAACATTAAGAACATTTGGCTTTTCTCGAAAATTTCATCAAAATTCGATCAAAATTGGATCAAGATTCAAAGAATTCATCCCAAAATTTGCTAGTTTCTTCTTTAAAAATTAAATTAAATTAAATTAAAATATAAATCTTTCAGTCTTGTGGAGTTTGAGAATAATTTTACAGAAAAAATTCTTCAGAAAAGCTTTTCTAAGCCTTGGCTTGAAAAATGATCGCGTTCTAGGAAGTAATTTCACTTTTTTGTTTCGTTTTTAAGCAAAAGAAAAAGCTTAAGGAAGTGGAAAAGTGAAAAATTTAGAATTTTAGGGTTTTGAAAGTTTTGGATGTCAAAATTGAGAGATTGAAATCGTCCTTTTGATGTGGAGAACCCATTGCTTGTACTATTTGGCTTGTACTATTTGGCTTGTACTATTTGGCTTGTACTATTCGGCTTGTACTATTTGGGTTGTACTATTTGGCTTGTACTATTTGGCTTGTACTATTTGGCTTGTACTATTTGGGTTGTACTATTTGGCTTGTACTACTGGCTAGCTTATTAAGCTAAAGTCTATGTACTACGTACTACGTACATAGACTGTGCTGTGTAAAGTGCTGTAGTGAAAGATCGATGTGCTATGAAATAATGCTCAAAGTAGAAATCCAAATGACTGAGTATCTTGAGAGAAATTGGATACGATGACGATTGAGATATCAATTTGGAAATGCAAATTAGAAATGACATGGAGAGATCTCTTTAGAATCAGAAATCAAAGCTTTTAGAAAAGAAATAGAGGATTGAAGGTGGAGAGAAGTTATTAGAGAACATTAGAGAGAAGTTAGAGAGATCTTTGGATTGGAAACAGTTAAAATGGCTGGAGATCTGGCTGACTGTTGGCTGAAGATCTGGCTGGCTGTTGGCTGAAGATCTGGCTGGCTGGCTGACTGTTGGCTGAAGATCTGGCTGTCTGGCTGACTGTTGGCTGAAGATCTGGCTGGCTGGCTGACTGTTGGCTGAAGATCTGGCTTCTGGCTGACTGTTGGCTGAAGATCTGGCTGGCTGTTGGCTGAAGATCTGGCTGTCTGGCTGACTGTTGGCTGAAGATCTGGCTGTCTGGCTGACTGTTGGCTGAAGATCTGGCTGGCTGTTGGCTGAAGATCTGGCTGTCTGGCTGACTGTTGGCTGAAGATCTGGCTGGCTGTTGGCTGAAGATCTGGCTGTCTGGCTGACTGTTGGCTGAAGATCTGGCTGTCTGGCTGACTGTTGGCTGAAGATCTGGCTGACTATTGGCTGAAGATCTGGCTGTCTGGCTGGCTGTTGGCTGAAGATCTGGCTGTCTGGCTGACTGTTGGCTGAAGATCTTGGGATCTATCTCAATGTTCTCTAACAATCTAATTCCCAAAAAGTTCTGCTACTAGAGTTCGTGCCTCTCAAAGAAATATGTTTGAACAAATTTGATCAAACAATTTTTTGTTCAAATAATGAAAACATGGCATTCCATGACTGGCACAGCTAGAATTAATCTTTAGTTTTAAGTTGGAAAGCCTTAGACAACAGCTTAGAAAGCTTAGACAGCATAGAAAGCTGTCTAAGCTTTCTATGCTGTCAACAGCTAAAATGCTAAAAATCTAGTATCGAAACCCTATTTTCATCTTCTTTTTCTGTAAAATTCTTCAAAACAAAAATGCGATCAGGTGAATTGTTTTTCTCAGTGTTCTCAGTGTTTCTCTCAGATCAGGTGAACAAGACACCAGTGTTTAACCTTTTTTTTTAGAGTACTTCAAAGTTCTTTCAGAGTTTCAGGTGTTTTCGTTTATGCAAAAGGTGCAAAATTTTCCCGAAAACATCTCAAAGGGCAAAAGGTGAGCATAATATTTTGGAGAAATATGTAAAAAATGTAACCAAATCCAGATAAAGCTAAAGGTTTGAGTAGTACTTGGAGTTAATTTTGTTAGGCATTGATGGAGATTGGCTTTGACCTGGTTTTGATCTATTAAGTTACCGATAAACCTTTGGAAACTTGAAAATGAATCACTTTCTTTGAATTTATTAGCAAAACATTCCAAAAGAAAACGATAGAAATTAACTAGTCAAGAAATCAACAGCAACAGCAACAACAACAACAGCAGCAACAGCAACAGCAGCAACAGCAGCAACAGCAACAGCAGCAACAGCAGCAACAACAACAGCAGCAACAGCAACAGCAGCAACAGCAGCAACAGCAGCAACAGCAGCAACAACAACAGCAGCAACAGCAACAGCAGCAACAGCAGCAACAGCAGCAACAGCAGCAACAACAACAGCAGCAACAACAACAACAACAGCAGCAACGGCAGCAACAACAGCAGCAGCAACAGCAGCAGCAACAACATCAACAGCAACAACAGCAGCAACAGCAACCACAGCAGCAGCAACAACAGCAGCAACAACAGCAACAACAGCAACAACAGCAACAACAGCAGAATCGTTATCTGAATCAATCAACAACAACAGAATCGTTATCTGAATCAATATCTCCATCAATATTTCTCTCCTTTACTCCATTGATCAATTGTTTAAGTGGAGCGTTGTCTTGTTGTTGTTGTGGATTGAAGTCTTGCGCCTTCAGGAATCGGCTTTTCTTGAAGCAGTGAATGAGACCATCTTCCAAGCCATCAGTAGCTGTGATTGCACAATTCTTGAGTTCTTCGGTTCTTCGGGAGTTGCTTCCATTCCAAACCCATTCAAGATAGGTTTCCATTAGTGAGACCGGATTTCCACTGCGAGTCAACAGTCTTCATTCATTCATCATCCAATCTTCATATTGAGCTCAAATCCTTGTTTTAAAAGAAGCATTCCAGACAACATCCGGTTGCGCACTCTCCAGGTGCCAGAATCCAATCCAATTTGCAAATGCTTTTCCTTATGCAAATGCTTTTCCTACAATTTTCCTTGTAGCTTCACTTTTATAAGCCGAGAAGTTATCCGAGAAGTTAAAAGAAGCATTTCAGATCAAATCTGGTGCTTGAATTCACTTCATGAATGTACTTAGTGCACTCTCCAGGTGCCAGAATCCAATCAATTTGCTTGAATTCACTTGATGCACCGTCCAGGTGCCAAAATCGAATCAATTTGTAAATCAATTGTAATCCTTTAGAATTTTCATCGTAGCTTTGGTTTTGTGAAGTTAAATGTTAAATGCAAAGAGTTAAATGGAAAGAATTAAATGCGAGAAGTTAAATAGTTAAACTAAGCTTAAATGGAAAATAGTGACGATTCTCGACTCGTAGCTGGACTCGACTCGTAGCTGGACTCGACTCGTAGCTGGACTCGACTCGTAGCTGGACTCGACTCGTAGCTGGACTCGACTCGTAGCTGGACTCGACTCGTAGCTGGACTCGACTCGTAGCTGGACTCGACTTGTAGCTGAACTCGACTCGTGGCTGGACTCGACTCGTGGCTGGACTCGACTCGTGGCTGGACTCGACTCGTGGCTGGACTCGACTCATGGCTGGACCCGACTCATGGCTGGACTCGACTCATGGCTGGACTCGTCTTCAAAGACTTCTGACTCGACTCGACTCTTGCTCTATGTCTAGTGCAAAAAAACTCATAAATATCATTAAAAAACAACAAAAACTAGTAGAAATACTGTAACGGTAAGCGTATGCCATCTGGCACCTTCTAACTGATCATTTGACTGAAGATTTGACTGAACTGGAGTTCAAAGATGCTTAATTTGCAAAAGCCATCCGCAAAAGCCAAGCCAGCCATCAATTTCTCAGTTCTTAATTAACTCAAAAGCTTTATCAGTATATAGAAATTGTTAAATTTTCAAATTCATGCAAAAACAAGTCACTTGGCACACGAAAGGCCACTTGGCACTTGGCACTTGGCACAAAAAACAAGCCATGTCTCAAATTTCCCCACCGCATAAGTCCGAGTCGTCGAGGAGCCAAAACCGAATCGCATTTGGGAAATTTTTTGGCTTATTATTAGCTATACTATTAGCTGAATATCTTCTCAATCTTTGAGGAAAATTTAGAGGAAAATTAGCTGACTTAGCTGAATTTAGCTGAATATTGAATGAGTTTATGCCTCAATTCGCAAATTGGTAAAGGCAAAAAGATGAGCGAATCCCCTAGGAAACAAAGTTCTGAGGATAAATTTTGTCTTTTCTCTTTCCTCTTTTATCTTTCTCTTTCTCTTTCTCTTTCTCTTTCCCATTTCTCTTTTATCTTTCCCATTCTTTCCTTGTGATCCCTTTTGTTGAGAACAAATTGTGGGTGGTGGACCGTAAAAGAAGATTCGCCCACACTTGAGGAAACGATAATTGAGGAGATGTTTTTAAAGATGAAATTTTGAATGAAAAAAAATAAAACGCTTTATAGGGCAATTTGCAGAAAAGTAGCTCTTTTCTATCAAAGAGGAAAATTTCAGAAATTTTTCGAAAAGAAAAACAAGTGACTCAATTCAATTTCTTGATTTCGAAAAAAGCTAAAGCTTTAAAGCTTTTAAAATTATTTTTCTTTATAACCTGATCTTTATAAACTGATTTATGCAAATTTCTCTTCCAAAACCCCACCTCTTTGAACTTGTACTTGAGACGACGCCACGTTTGCCGCGTTCGATAGATGCATGGCGGAGTGTGCATGGGGAAATGCTGGAATCAATTCTAATATCAAATTATCTGATATCAATAAACATCAAATCAAATCTGATATCAATAAACAATGAAATCTGCACAATTTAGCAAATGAAGTTGTGAAAGAAATTATAGAATATTTTAAAATCAAAAAAATAGACAAATAAATCGATCCCTCAAGCAAAAACTTGGGAAAACGATTTGGTTCCTATTTGGTTCCTATTCGGTTCCGATTTGGTTCAAATTTCGTTCCTATTTGGTTCTTATTTTGTTCCTATTTTGTTCCTATTTGGTTCATATTTGGTTCTTATTTGGTTCCTATTTGTTTCCAATTTGGTTCATATTTGGTTCCTATTTGGTTCCAATTTGGTTCTTATTTGGTTCCTATTTTGTTCCTATTTGGTTCATATTTGGTTCTTATTTGGTTCTTATTTGGTTCTTATTTTGTTCCTGTTTTGTTCCCATTTTGTTCCTATTTGGTTCATATTTGGTTCATATTTGGTTCCTATTTGGTTCTTATTCGGTTCCCATTTAGTTCTTATTTGGTTCCTATTTGGTTCTTATTTGGTTCCTGTTTGGTTCTTATTTGTTTCCTATTTGGTTCCTATTTCGTTCCTATTTGGCTCCTATTTGGTTCTTTTTTGGTTCTTATTTGGTTCCTATTTGTTTCCAATTTGGTTCTTATTTGGTTCCTATTTGGTTCCGATTTGGTTCCAATTTGTTTCCTTATAGTTCCTATTTGGTTCTTATTTGGCTCCCATTTAGTTCTTATTTGGTTCCTATTTGGTTCCGATTCGGTTCCAATTTGTTTCTTTTGTTCATATTTGATTCCAATTTGTTCCTATTTGATTCCAATTTCGTTCCAATTTCGTTCCCATTTGGTTCTTATTTGGTTCCGATTTCGTTCCAATTTCGTTCCTATTTAATTCCTATTTCATTCCAATTTGTTTCCTTTTAGTTCCTATTTGGTTCCTATTTAGTTCTTGTGAAAAAGGAGTTGAAACGCTTTCGAGTAGCCGAATAATTGAGCAACATTTGCAACAGCAACAGCAACATTGCAACATGCAACATGCAACAGCAACAGCAACAGCAAATGTGAAAAACATTTGCCAATACTGACCAAATTTGTTAGATTTCTATTTTTATTAAATAAAATGGTAAAAGGTCACAATTTTTAGATAGAGATTTAGATTTTAGACCTAAATACGTAACGAGAACCAAGTTAGGCTCGTAGTGTGAGTAAATCAAAGCAAAGAGAGGAAGGAGTAAATTTGATTACCCAAAAGAAAGAAAAAGAAAACCCACACAAATAATAGGAAATTATGAGAAACTTGGTAAAGTTTTGTAAAATGTTTGTTATGCAAACTTTTTCTCAACCCTTTTCCCCTCAATTACTTAAATCGATGTTACTAATTATTCAAAGTGGCTCTTTCGTTTTTAAATGAAAAACTTTGCTCTTTACGTGAAGAAACAGATGTTTTTTTATTTGAAAATTTAATTTCTTCAGTCTGGTTATTCATATTATTGTTTATTAAATGTTTGGAAAGTTTAATAAGTTTAATAGTTGTAACTTTCTAGAATATTTAGCCACACAGTTAGTCAGTTTAGTCAGTACACTAATAGTAAGTCAAAAACTCTATGGGTCGCATTGTTTGGATCGCATTGTTCTCTTAATTTAACCAGTACTGCAATGGTTTAAGATTATCTTGCAAAAATATAAAAATTAAAGCAAATTGGCAAAAATTTGAGCATAGTGAAAGAAAGGTAAAAATAAAAAGCTCAAAACAAATGTAGGAAGCAATATTTAGGAAAAACATCAGGAATCAGGAAATCAAGAAAAAGGAAAAATAATAAATAAAAATTCCAAATAAGAACCAAATAGGAACCAAATTGGAAACAAATAAGAACCAAATGGGAACCAAATTGGAATGAAATAGGAACCAAATAGAAACCAAATCAGAACCAAGTAGGAACCAAATCGGGACCAAATAGGAACAAAATAAGAACCAAATAGGAACCAAGTAGGAACCAAATCAGAACCAAATAGGAACCAAATAAGAACCAAATAGGAACAAAATAAGAACCAAATAGGAACCAAGTAGGAACCAAATCAGAACCAAACAGGAACCAAATCGGAACCAAATAGGAACAAAATAAGAACCAAATAGGAACCAAGTAGGAACCAAATCAGAACCAAACAGGAACCAAATAGGAACCAAATAAGAACCAAATAGGAACCAAATTGGAATGAAATAGGAACCAAATCGGAACCAAATAGGAACCAAATATCCGAAAGATCAGATCCGAATTTATTAAGAGCAAATCCGATTCCATTCAGATCAGATCCGAATCATATCAAATTAATCCATCTCTTTCTCAGAAACTTGATTGATTAATTGAGTAAATTTGATTAGGTAACCATTGGGCAAAACAATCTCGAACTTGGTTCAATTGCTCAATCAAAATCTGGGTTGAATCTGAGTGCAGAACAATAGAAGCTCAAGCTTGATTTTCATGGCTATTCTGGCCATGGAGTCGGAGCAACCTCCCATTTTTTCCACTTGACTACATTCGTCAAAATTTGGCCATAAAAACCGCCAAAAGAGCAAAGCCGACTCAAAACAAAAAAGCAAATATTTAATGCGAAGCAATATTTAATGTCGGTGAGTGGAAAAACATCAGCAAGCGCTTCTTTGGATGATGAAAGAATCGATTTAGGCTAGAGAAAAGGGAAGTCCCTTATGCCAGACGGGTTTGCCAGAAAGCGAGCGATTACGCGGCCGCACCGAGAACATCTTGGCAGTCATTTCTTAAGGATTTCTTTGCTTTGTAAATTGCATAAAAAGATATTCAGCTGTAAATTGGCAAAAATAAGGTGGTAAAAATTCTGGAAAAA